CAGGACCCTCTGTTGGGTCAGACCAAAGGTCCATCTAGCCCAGTATCCTGTCTACTGACAGTGGCCAATGCCAGGTGCCTCAGAGGGAGTGAACCTAACGGTTAATGATCAAGTGATCTCTCTCCTGCCATCTATCTCCACCCTCTGACAAACAGAGTCTAGGGACACCATTCCTTACCCATCCTGGCTAATAGCCATTAATGAACCTCCATGAATTTATCCAGTTCTCTTTTAAACACTGTTATAGTCCTAGCCTTCACAACCTCCTCAGGCAAGGAGGTCCACAAGTCAGCAGAGGCACTCAAGCTTACAGTACCCTGATTTCAGCGAGAGGGCGTTTGGTGTAGGATCCACTCCATGACAGCTCTTCAATGTACTCCCCATCTTACTGGTACATCAGGGCAGGCCTTTGATGACTTTCAGTGAGCACTGCAAGGCTCATGTATTTTGTGGGGGTTTAAGGAAGAGAGTGGATTGATGATGATTTGGAGAAAGTGGCTGTTGAATGTTAGTGATTTGTGGATAGGATTGATAGCAGTGGGACATGCCTTTTTATTTCATGGACGTTTATTCTTTAGTGTGGGTGCATGTTTCCTTTGAGAGAGAACTAAAAGTGTAGTTTTGGGTGGCTGGCTTTGTGCCGTCATGGTTCTGTCATGTGGGGTTTCATTTATCACTTTTTGTGCATATTTGAGCTTGCTTGGAAGACTGGGCACAGATTGACATGCATTCAGTGTGCTGATGACATTGAATCTATCCTTCCCTTTCATCCAACTGATAGGGAGCAATTCTCTTTCTCTGTGTATGGTAGTGATTAGAGCTCTGATAAGAATGGGCAGGCTGAGGCCAGGTGAAACAGAGGTTGTCATGTTATGTTTGAGGAAGCAATTGGACAATATGGCAAAGATTGTCACCCATTGATTGAAGGTGTGTCCCCGTCTTGTGTCAGCTGAGCATTCACTTTGTGAATCCTGTTAGACCCCTTGTCGTCGTTAGGCAGCTATAAAACAGAATTGAGCAGAATGGCTTTATTCCCTCCCATGTGGGAAGGAAGTTGTAACCCTTTCTCTCAGGCCTGGACTATGTTACAGGCCTCCAGGGTTCTGTTGCTTGAAGTTTAGGCAATTCCAATGCACCCTGTGGGGATCTGCATGTGGATACTGAAGTTGGGGCAGAAAGTGGTGAGCACATGGCACCAGTGCTCCGGGATTTGTATTGGTTGCCTGTTGGTTTCTGGATGGAGTTTAAGAAGTTGATTCTGATCTATAAAACCCAAATGGGATGGGTGATGGGATTTGAGCAAGGATCTGTGGATTTTTATTTGGCACAACTAGTTTTTGTGGGAGCTGAAGAAATTCTAGTTTTTTGGACGGCAGAGAGATTGTTGGTTTGCTGTTGCTAATTTTAATCTTGATATTCTTAATTATCTATCAAGGCTACCCACAGGCAGGAGTGTAGGCATTTTGTGCTTACATATTGAAATCAAAGCACAAGATTTTTTTAAATTTAATTGCCTATTTTGAATAAGAATAGAGTAAAAACATAAGTTAAAAGACTTCTCCTAGGTAGTATTAAATCACCAATGTCTCATATGAAAAAGGCCTTCAAAAGTGATATTGTATCAGCCTGAAATGAAGATAGGTCCCAATCCTTCAACTGCCTCACTATGAACACAGGGCAACTGCTTGCATGGAGTCAGTTACAAGATCAGGATCTTGTATTGTAAATGCACATACACTGATTCTTAAGGCTTGTCAGTTTTACCTAAGATAAATAGATACGGTTAACTCAAAGTTTGGTATGTCCCCTTAAAGATCTTATATGTAGATGTGTTAGCCGAATGCCAAATCGCAAAGCAATGTGATAAATTTATTAGGTACCTTGGTTTGATCCACATCATCTGCTTTCTACCTACTGAACCCTGTGGAAATACCTCTAACACTGTACATTTCTGAGCAACTTCAAAAAGCTGCGCCCCTCCCCCCCCCCAAAAAAAATAAAAAAATGAAGTGCCGCAAACTGTTTGCATATTTCAGAGGAGGAGAATTTTCTCACCGGGGGGGGGAGGGGGGAAATACCCCTTTCTGAAACCCCACAACAGGCAAGATTCACCTCTGCACTTTTATAGCCCAGTATGTTTGAACTCATATTAAATAAGATACTTGACAGGAGTAGGAAAATTAGTCCCAATAAATATTTTCCAAACTCTCTCAAACCTCCATAAAATAGGTTTTATGTAACGTGTGTAACAGGCAGAGTGCATGGTGGCAAAGTGTGGCATAAAGGTTTTATCCATGGTTGCTTGGAATGACCTGCATAACTCATTCATGGCTTTACCGCTAGCATGTAATGCAGTCATCCCAGTGAATGACCAACTCATGCCAGTGAAACCTATAAACCACACCACTGAAATTTCAGTATGTACTTCACTGCTATGGAAGTACCTATTAATGCTACAAAAACTGGGGCTGTGTAATGTCAAACTCTTCAGTTGTCTGTGTCAATTTTAAGATTATTTTGTTAATCTTATAAGAGTCATGGTAAATAGAAATTGCAACACATGCCTTCACAGCCCTAAGAGATGTCCTGTCTTCAGGTCAGATGACCCAAGCTTTGCTTTTCTAGTTAGTGTGTTATCACAACTTATTGGTGTGATTTCACTGAAGTGAATGCACAGAGGATGAAGTGTTATCAAAATCACTAATCTTCCTTGTATCTCTCTAACTGGTTTGTAGCCATTTTAACTACCAGTCTTGTTTCTGGTTGTATAGGGTCTCAGAATACTTACTTAAATGAAAAATATTTGTTGGGCCTGATTTTTCAGAGGTACTGACCTCAATGGTACGCTGCTGTTCAACACCTCTGAAAATCATGCCTGTTGCTATTAGCTCAACAATAAATACTTCAGAGATCATATTTGTGAAGACTTCTGAACATCACTTGATGATTTATTTGAAAAGGACAGTAAAAGTTTGCCCCCTCGATTAGAGAGAGTTAAACCAAGAATGCAACAGACTGAAAACAAAGAGTGATTCTGTGTGTTTGAGACCTGAAGGTATAATAATATAGGTAATGCTAATATGCTGAACATGTGAAACAATTCTGTTCCTTCTACAAATGTTTCTTTTTCCTGCTTTGTAAAATATTTTTTTTTTGGTTCAGAATCTTTTTTCTAGACATTCCTCTCCTTGACTTTTCTTTCCAGATTTTGTTTCCTATCCTGTTTGCCATGTTTCCCTTCTTACGTGTCAGGAAATTACCCTACCCTTCTCCATTTTGGTAAGATAACATTATATAAGGAAATCCAAACACTGTGTGTCATACCAGTACATGCACGTAGCCTTTTCTTTTTAGCAGCTCAGAGTTAATTTTCATTTGCAGTTGTATATAATAAAATTTGGTTTTTATTTTAAGATGCTTTTGTTTGTTTTGGGTGCAGATTTTCCTTAGCTAGCAGACAAGAAGTATTTACCTTTAAATGCATTTTTTAAAAATTATGGGATTTCATAAAGTGTGCAAATATTTACACACAATTATTTAACCTGTCAGGTGAGGCCCCAAATATAGTTTTTTGAAATGGGATTACATTTAATATTGATCACATTTCTGATGCGGCTGGGGCGGATGGCTTTACTGCATCTTTGCACACACAAAATATCATCTGATTTTCAAGTCTGCTATGCACACTGATGGTTTTTTGTTTTGTATTTTTTAATTTTTGTATATTAAGTCTTAGAAACAAGTCTTTATAATTTACCCTGTTGGCTTCTTGTACTATAAAACTGTAATATATTGTGTTTTAAAAATTGAGTGAAATTACCTCCCATAACATGTAAACATTCCTCTGATTTCATTTCCAATGATTTGCAGTGTGCCATTTGTTTCTCCATACTTAATTATAGTTAATAATTTTAAAATCATTTATTTTTCATGGTTGAAGTCTTAATATTCTGGGTTTTATGATGATTGTCTTCTAATCTTTTGTGGGGATGAAGTTTAGTCTAAAAGGGTGAAAGACAGCGCAAACAGTTGTCTATCTCTTCTTGCTGTGGTATGAATGTGGGGTTTCCTCATTTCATATAATTGCAGTGTAGCTAACTCTGGCAGCTTCAGGGGATTAATTCACTTCTTCATTCATCTCTCATTTTGTTGTTGTGCCGTGTGGTTCTTCAGACAAATGGAAATAATATATGCCAGACCACTGGACGCTGTCACTACCAAAATTCACCAACTACTGCTGGATACGTTGTTGACTGCCATTTTTCTGACTGACTGACTGACTCTTTTTCTATTTTATTATATGCTTTGTCCCAACTTGCTCATGACCCTGCTATAATGTACAGCTCCAGGTTTAGGTAGTGGTAGGTGTTCTCAGTAGGCTGCTTTCTCTATCACAGCCACCTGAGGTTAATTGAACCTTCTGGTCTCTTTGGCAAAATGTTAAAGCCTTCAACCTTTTCTTTGATCCAGCAGATGTATGAAAATTAGAGTTCTTTTTTGGCATTGTAGTACTCTTTTTGCTAGATGAAGTCTTAAAAGCCCACATAATAACTGGAAAACAGGTCCTTGATAAACAATTCATTTACAATTAAAACTAATACAGAATAGGTGAAATTTTGGCTGCCTTGAAGCCCATCAAACTCCCATTGACTTCCATGGGGTCAGGATTCACCCATTATAGATAATATTATACAAAGGTAAATAAAACCTCTTGCATCAAGTCGTCGTCGTCGTCATCATCATCATCACTACTCCCATAACCGCATTGGTCGTTGGGGCACCATCACTGATGAGCAATCAGCCAATTGTCCCCACCCCGATGATTGTGTGTCAGTGCTTGAATCTCCGCGAAGTCCATTCCTGTCAACTCTTTTATGTTGTCGATCCATCTCTTCTTCTGTCTACCTCTTCTTCTCTTCCCCTGTACTGTCCCTTGGAAGATGATCTTGGATAGGCCAGAACATCTTGTTACGTGGCCATACCACTTAAGCTTGCGCGTCTTCACGGTTGTCAGGAGGTCTTCATATGACCCAGCACATTGGGTGATGATGTTGCAGACCTCTTCATTAGTGACGTGGTCGAAGTAGGAGATGCCCAGGGTTTTACAGAAGTATCTCATCTCTACTACCTGTATTTTCCATTCAAGTTCTGCCGTAAGGGTCCATGTCTTGCACGCACACAGAAAAATTGAGATGACCAATGCGTGCAGCAGTTTGTTTGGGTTCTAGGGAGATGTTCTTATTTCTCCAAATTGGCTTTAGCTTTGCCACTGCTACTGTTGTTTGCGCAGTTCTTGCCAGAATTTGAATAGAGAGCTCCCTTTGTTATTTGTATTGTGATAGCACTACATTACACTTTGCACTTTACTGAGGTGTAACAACAGTCTGTCCCAAAGAGTTTACAGTCTTAAAGCAAAGAAACAGTTCTACGATCATCCCAGTACTTCCATAATGTACCACAGGCAACAGGTGCAGCCTTGGACTCTGTTTCTCCCAAGTCTTCATGAAATATTGCTCTCTGGACACAGATGAGTCTCTTAAAACGTCAGTGCCTAACATGTGACTCGACCCTGGGAGACAGGCTGGCATCCTTCACAAAATATGAAGTAATTCAGTTTGTGCACCTCTTTAAGCTTACTGCTCCATGGTTCCTTCTTCCTGCTGCTCCCACAGGCAAAAGGAAACTTCCTGAGACAGGAAGAATATATAAATACCATATTTTAGTCTTTCTTCCTCCTCACTGTTACTCTAATATATAACTAACTAACGGAGGCCCAAGTTTACTTTTTAACACAGGTTTCTGCTCTGAGATTAGGTGGACCATTAAGAATATGAAGGTGTCTCCTTGATAGCTACTGCAGGACATTTAGCAAATTGTATACTGTATTGTACCTGACCTTTTTATCTTGTGGCCATCCTTTTCTTCTCAAACTGCCCTCTGCATCAGTCTCCTTACACCCGTTACTCTGTCCTTTCCTCACCTCTCAGATTTCTCCTTCCATTTCTCACCATTCATCTCTGTTCCCTTTACATCTACTTTTCCCTTCTGTTGCCAGCATTAATATACATTTACAAAGGGTGATAGGTGCCCTTAAAAATCCCTTAGTAGAATTTGTCCAGTTTAGCTAAGCAACAACTAAAAGGAGGGATAGGCAAGTCGAGATATCTGAAAGGTGTAATCACCAAGAGGAAGCAAAATTTCTTGAGGATATACAAAGATGTGTAGCTAAAAGTAATGGAAAGACACTTCAGTTGGTTTAAATGTTCAGGGAAAACTTCTAATAGTGAGATCTCAAGTCTATGAATGCCCCATCACTTGAGCCATTTGAAATTCTCCTGGATAAAACACTAAAGTACTATGGAAAGACCCCCAATAGGTCTTTTCCATCTATGATTTCTACGATACTTAGAGCTTGAAGATTGATGAGGAAATCTGGAAGGATAATGTAATAAATAGGGAATGAAGTTAAATATTAGCTGCTGATCTGCCAAATGCATTATGATGTATCGAAGTTATATGATGCAGAACCAAAAACACTAAGTGTGTATTGACTTGCATTCAAGTCCATATCAAGATTTGACTGTAGAGATGAACATTAACAGATGGTAAATTTTAACCATGGAAGTCAGTATGTATTATGCAGATATCTTACAAATCAAAATACTCTTTTGTAATACATGACATATAATATTGTGATAATGATGTTTAAGTGCTTTACAAATGCTTAAGCCTGACTACACCCTTTTCAGATTGGTACACTGAGAGGTTAATTAACCCGTAGCCACACAGTGGATAAACTAGCTTTAACTACTTCAGTTTTAGCACTCTAAAATAATTTACTTGTACTGTTAAATGGTGTTTTGTCCTAATGGATATTTGTGTCCCTGGGGTGTAAATAGTTGACACTTACCTCAAGGAGCAAGGAGGAGTCAAAGAATGCAGGGAAACAATACTTAAATTACCAGGTTCTTTATGTAGTGTCACAAGCACAGGCCAGATTCACACCTAACATGAAAAGATGTCCAAGCTAGCAGAAAGTGAAAATAAATGAAACACTTAGAATGTTTGACTACAAATCTCTCAGACGCTTGCAGCTTGTCTGTAGACAAGTTATTTATTGTACGTATAAAGCCTGCTGAAATTGAAGGTGAGAGCTCACAGGAGCCATTTTTACAACTAGATGTACACATTTAAGCAGGTTTAACGTGAGTGAATGTATGCCACCTATTTTATCATTCCTCTTGAGACCCTTAGTAGTGACTTAAAACTTTCTACATTGCTTCTTCTGTTAAGGTTCCATTAAATTTTGATTCACATGCTTAATTTCAAGAGCATCAAGATAGGAAAATACACTATTCGAAAAACTCTTAAAGGATCTAAACTGACATTGCTCAAAATTATTATGCTGTTCTGAATTTCCTTCAAAAATATGTTTCAAGAAACAATTATGTATTTTCCTCAACACTTGAGTTTGAAATCTGCTTCATGCCACCTTCTCTCTTGAGCCTCTCTTGTTCTGGTGGGAATATGAATTTGAATTCCTTATTTTTAAACTGTTTTATTAGCTAATAGATGCCAATTCTCTCTAGTTTCTTTAATGAAAATGTTGTTTTCCAGACTTACGAAAAGCATATGACAGTTATTTCTTGCATATCCTAAGAGCATAGTGTGCTGAAAGTCTTTTGAATGTACTGTTGTTCTGATCAATTCTCTTCTCCTTAATGATTTAAAAAAAATTGTTTTCTACTTCCTGAGAACCTTTTGAACTTAAAGGGGGTCTGTGTTCTCACCTTCTTCTAGATCTTTTAAGTTTTGATGTAATAGCTACCTCAGATAATCTGTCACACCCTACTGCAAGCAGACCGAAGATGCCTGGCAGGAGGCTGCCTACTCGTTTCAACGGCAATCATTCTGTGAGTACATTGACAGTATTATTCTGAAGATGAATTTAGGATATCTGCTTCCCACAAGAGAGAATTTCATTGGACAACATCACTCTAGAGAAGTCATTTCATTAGCAAATGCCTAAGAGAGTATTGATAGGAACATGTATCCACAAAAGGAAAAGTAAAGGTGAAAATGAGTATAACTGAATATAGCAGCATCACAACTGCAGTTAAAAAAATTAGATTTTCCTATCTATTCCATTGGGGTTTGACATTGTTTCCTATTTCCCTAACTACTCAAATAGTGCTCCAGTTGCATCAATAAAAGAAATTTCTCATTGTGAACTTTTTATATTTCAACTCCAACAGTGTCCTCTGTTTTACAAGAGTAAGAACCCATAGTCCCTGCCCAGGGAATTTACAGTTTAGCATAGATTACTGTTCAGACATGCAAGATATCAAATGCCAGGATGAGTACATCTTGGAGATAGAATATTTATTTGTTTATCTTTATGCAGTTATGTCAATTGAACTGTAATGGAGTCAGGTGACATTGTGGGGTCCACACAGACCAGCAGTGGGTTCTGTTACAACCTGTCATGTAACTTTGGGGTCCTTTGTGCTGGTTCAATTCCCTGACACCAGTAGCCTGCCCACAAGCACAAGGTCTCACCCTGGCTCTCTCTAGTTTAGGTAATGTCAACAGCACTTCCAATCCCAGGTCTCCCTGAGTTCTTAATTACCAGACACACTCAGATTGTTCCCCTCTGACTCCTCGCCCCCGAAGGCGTGAAAGCAGCAACCGCCCTCCCTCCCCAGTTATCAGTGCACTTTGGCACACACGCTCCATACAGTTTGCACACCAGAGCCCTTGTTCAGATAAAAATAAAAAGTTTGTTTAATAGAAAAAGCACAGTCTCAGAGAAGAAATAATAAGGGAAAGCACACACAAAATAAACGGGGAGGGATAGCTCTGTGGTTTGAGCATTGGCCTGCTAAACCCAGGGTTGTGAGTTCAATCCTTGAGGGGGCCACTTAGGGATCTGGGGCAAAGTCAGTACTTGGTCCTGCTAGTGGAGGCAGGGGGCTGGACTCGATGACCTTTCAAGGTCCCTCCCAGTTCTAGGAGATAGGATATCTCCATTAATGTATTTAAATTTAAACCTAAAGATGCAACTTCAGGCTTTCCACTTTCATATTAGATAAACATCCTCTTCTAATAAGAGCTATCTCTTGCCTTAAAACAGCTTCTTACTATATCCCCTAGCTATGAGGGATCCAGAGTTCATGGACAGCCCCCACCTTGAGACTGTCCCCAAGTTCTGCATGCTCTTCATTTTTCAAAGACCGCGGTTTTCTTTTCAGTTTCAGGCTGTTCTCATTTTGTGTTGATGGTTCCTCATTGTTTTTTTTCCTGGGCTTGGACAATGGCTATGTGCTTGAAGGCAGTCTCACCTGGGTGGAGAAGTAGTCTCAGCCTGCCTGATTGCTTCACTGCCCTGTTGTGAGGTGATACTGAAATGGCACCACAGTTACAATTAAAATTTTTATATATACAATCACATACTTTCATAACTATAACCTGTATGCATACCTCGTAATGACTATTAAGTTCATTACAGGCTTTCATAAAAGATCCTTACCCATTATATTTTTATAGCAAAATATTATAGTACGCTATCAGTTGGGTTAGCTGCTTATTTGGGTGGGGTCTCAACCTTTTTTTCCCTTGAGGTGTCCGATTGTCCAAGTCCTCAGTCTGTTCCAACTCTTTTTAATCTGTTTGTATTGCTGTTGTGTCCAAAGACCCCAATCAACATCAGGGTCTCCTTTTGCTAAGCATTGCAGAAACATACATAGTTCCTGCCCCAAGGAGCTGACAGCTAATTTAATAAACATTCCGGGGGCAGGGAGGGGAAAGAGTGTGAAAGACAGAAGAGGTTAACAATATTTTAGAAATCAAGTTAAGATCATCAGTGGTATTTCTGACAATATGCTTCAGTTACTGTCCTTATTTTACTCCCAGGGCTAGTCAGTTATTTTTTATCAAGGTAAAGTCAAGGTCCAGACTCCAGAGAAAACAATAATAAAAAATAACAGTGGTAATAATAAGTAAATACAAAGATTTTTGGGTCCATTCAAAAGTGTCTGGGAGTCTGGATTTAGCCTGGGGTCCCCCTATTGACTGCCCTGTTTTACTCCATCCCACTTGGTAATTATATTGTAAGTTACTGTTTTAGCTATTCTGCACACATTCTATTTAGCATGCATGTTTTTATTTACTAGCCAACTCAAAATGAGAGTACAGAAAAAATTGTGAAGGAGCATAAAGAGGAGGAAGAAAGTGCCAAACCAAAGCCATCTGAAGTTAAAAAGGTACGAAGCTGAAATGATCAGATACACATATCAAACTACTAGTAGTGCCATTCATTTTGATTGTATGTGCACATGCTGATTAATGCAGCCATACAGATTGCATTGATACAGGAGTGACTAGTTTTATATTGGGTAGCACAGAACTATGCTTCTAGTTCCAGGAGTAAGTTGGATGTCTACTCTGCCACCTAGCTCCTGGATAAAGAAAAGTAGGTTTGAGCAGAAGAGGCATGCAGAATGGCATAGCTTGACCTCAGTTACCACCCTGGAAGCTTGCTTAATAACTGATTTTAGGCAGCCCCATTACATTGCAGTTCTTGAAAGATAAGAGAGCTGGTGTCATCCTGCATTTTCTGGATAGTTGGTAAAAACTTCTGTGAATTTTACTTCCAAAGTAAATCTGATGGCAGGAGGCCAGGATTGCCAACGAGCAGTTACAGAAAGGTGGGGAAGCGTTGAGAGTGGGCAACCCAATGTGAAGAGGAAGGCGAACCCCTCCCCTCACTCCAGGGACAACTTCTATGATTCCTAACAGAGCCCCACCTCTCTCTTGGGACACCATTATGAAAAGCGCTTTCTGCAAAGGACTCCTCCTAATCTTAAATGGGCTGCTCCTTGTGGGTAAAATTGCCTCAGTTACTAAGGTTCTGGTACATTGTTCTCCTACTGTGCCTGCCTGAACTCCTCCTTGCCTGGACAGCTGTAACCTCAGACCGATGGGTCCTCAGCACAGTGAAACAGGTTATACCCTCCAGTTCCTTTCTACTCCCCCTTCCCACTCACCTTCCCCATCCCTCTTCAGGGACCCCTCTCATGAGAGTCTCCTGGCACAGGAGGTAAAGGCGTTACTATAGCTGGGTGTGGTGGAAGAAGTTCCTCTCGAGTACAGGAACGGGGTTCTAGTCACAGTACTTCTTAATCCCAAAGGCCAAGGGTGGTCTGTGGCCCATCCTGAACTTGCAAGACCTCAACAAGTACCTAAAGAAGTTAAAGTTCCGCATGGTTTCCCTGGCTTCTATTATCCCCTCACTGGATCCGGGAGACTGGTATGCCGCCCTCGATTTGAAGGACCCATTCTTTTTGTGGATACAGACTAACACGGCTGCTACTCTGAAATACTTCCACATAGTGATCTTTCAAGGGCACAGACGCTTCCTCCTGTTTACGGTGGAGCCCCACCACTACCAGTTTGCGGTCCTCCCTTTCGACCTGACAACAGCACCGAGAGTGTTTACCAAGTGCATGTCGGTTGTAGCGGCTTACCTCAGGTACTAGGGTATTCAGATCTACCCGTACCTCGATGGCTGGCTCATCAAGGGCAGTTCCAGGTCTCAAGTCCAAAGGGATGTCGCGGTGCTTCAAACCACGTGCTGCTCTCTGGGCCTACTGGTAAATGACAAAAAGTCGATGTTCGTGCCAGTGCAGAGGATAGAGTCCATCAGAGTGGTCCTCGACTCGACCTGTGCCAGGGTGTTCCTGCCACTGGAAAGGCTCCACATGTTAATGAACCTCATCACGGAAGTCTCCGCGTTCCCTCTGACTACAGCCAGGGTCCGTCTGCGCCTCTTGGGTCGCATGGCAGCACACACTTACGTGGTCCACTGTGCCAGGCTCCGAATGCGGCCTCTGCAACAACGGCTGGGGATGGTCTATTCCTAGTCCAGAAACCCCCGGAAAAGATCATTACCATTCCCCAGGTGATACTTATCTCGCTGTGATGGTGGACCGACCGCACGACAGTCCTGGAGGACGTTCCATTTGAC